CTGATTGTCATTATTCCAAGTAATAGTATTTTAAGATAACAAGATGTAATAAAACTCTGGGTTGATTTTTTTTTCGTTTTGGCTTATGGTTTGTTTATTGTTGGTTTTTTTGGTCTTGTTGGTTTTGTTTCTTTAAGAACTGTGGGGCTTCTTGAAGTTAACATCTTAATGTGGACTTTTTTCTTAATCATTAAATCATTTCTTTGGATATGCAGCTATGTCTAAAGTTTATTCAAAGCTACCAGGAAAGTTACCTGCAATTTGCACTGAGCCATCTTCTCCAAGAAGAATATTTCCTGCTTTCACATCCCTGCAGAAAGACAAAGCAACAATAAGTGGAAGTCATTAAATCTTTCCTTTGGCCAACAAAAAAATACATAACAAGGTTATTATTTCTTATATTTGGTTTCTTGCATTAGCACCTCCTGCTTCCAATCATACAAGAACAGTAGGTACTTCACATCAGTTGTAACTTCAGTAGACAAACACTAAGTAGTATTTGTATGGTTTATAGATAGTAGTATTTTAGGTATTATGCACAGAAAGAAAGTTTAAAACTTAGCAGAAGTTTAAAAATCCAACAAAAGTGGTTTGTCCCAGGTTCTTAAAGCAGAAAACAGAACCTAGCACTGGTCTGATACTTGTGCACCCTTGCAGGGGGAGAGACTTCCAGAGACTGTGAGTAGATCTTATCTCACTCCTGCTGGATGCATCCTGTTCTTCCCCAGCCCCACATCTTGCTCTCCAGCCCCGGAGAAGTTCATGTGCTTCCTGAGGAAATCAGTCTAACCCCACACACTGGTGCAAATCCAGACAGATGAAAAACACTTTTGCTCATGGCTTAATGAAGAGAACCACCAAGTGTCAGGTGAGCAGACCTGGTACAACAGACACTGAGGAGGGAAAGTCAGGCCACTCAACTGTCCCGTGAAGTCTCAAATGCAGTGAAAAAGTCTCACTGATCTTTTTTTGACTGAAGTCAATGAGCACACAAGAACATCCAGCATGTTCTACAAAAGTTTTGTACTATCTTCTTTATCTTCCCAAAGAGCTCCAGGTTTTTAGGTCAACAGCAGCACTTCTCTTCATCTTTGAGGGGAATGCTCCTTTCACTCACTTTGAAGTTTTCCAGTTTATTTTCACAGGCTGCTCCCCATGCCAAACCAAGAGAAACACCTTCAGAGTTGACATCTGCATTCATCAGCACAGCTGCTAAGCCTACCCTGAAGAGGAACCCTCACAGACCCGGAGCAAAAAGAGGAAAACAACCCCAAAACAAGCAGGTTTTCCCTCCCCATCTTTGGCAAATATTCCAAATCCTTTCACACACAGAAAAAAAAAAAAAAAAAAAGTCAAGAGCTATTTTTTGTCTCTTCCCTCGTGCACCATGAGAACAGAACTAGTGCGATGGCCTGGCCAAAGAGCCCTGGTCAGGCCCTGGAAATCTCCTTCCTGGCTTTGCTCTTCTGAAGAAGAAGTTGGGCCACTGCCAGTTCCAGGCTGGGATAATTTTAAACACATCCTCTCCAGCATTAGCATTTGTTAGACTCTTCCCAATACCCAGTATAAGACAGTGGCATGGCAAAGCTCTCCACCAGCATGCAGCAGAATAAAAACTGTCCATAAGACAGTCCCCCTAAAGACAAACAGCAAACTACAGTTGACAGCACCTCTAATACTTCATACAGGAATTTCAAGGCCTCCCAAATGTACACCTCTTGCTAGCAGCGCCCATCTTGAAGCCTAATCCCACTTTGTGAGACCAAGTACAGGAAGATTCTCATTTGCTTTAATAATCAAGAACACTTGGATAGATCTATATGGAAACACTGAAGTTATATGACAAGATAACCTTGAGGAGCTGACTTTCCCTCCAAGAAACAGAACTTTTATTCCTGCAATTTAAAATTCTGCCATCACAGACAAGAATGCATCAGTGGATGGAGACCCTTAAATAGATGAAGGACCTGAAGGGATTAAATACACAATTAAGCATGTGGCTACATGACCTCCCTTAGCATCTGTTGGCCAAATGCAGTTGGAGCTGGAGAGCTAATTGCCATGAGAGATACAGACTCGAGTGACCCCTGCACTCCCACAAAGCATTCATGGTCGGTTAGAGGGAAGAATGGAAGAGCTCCCTGCCAATATTTAAGTAGAAGATGCCTTTGCGATCCAACCCCATGAGCACATGGAACCATGAGAGTGCAGTGCCCAAGTCTGCTGCTTCCTAGGTAAGGAGCTGGCTCACATGATGTGCAATGTGCTTGGCACAGGCACAGGCATCTCCAGGAATCCCTCCCTGCACTAATTCAGAGGGAACACAGGGTGTTCAGGAAACTCTCCAGTCCTACTGGAAATGTTTACCCAGACAGCTGATTCTCCTGTGAAGAGATGCCTGTTGAAGTTATTATTTCTCTTACTGGAGTAAGAGTAATTTCCTTTTCCAACCATGCTCCAAGACAACCCAGGATGCTTAAGCACTTCCCCAGTACACTGGGCCATGCCAAATTGTATGGCCTTTCTGAACTTCTCCTCTGGCATAATGGCACATGTGGCTTACCAAGCCCCCAGAGCAGACCACACTCAGCCATGAAGGCAAGTGACAGGGAAGTTTTTAAGCAAAACTAAGGATGAGTAAAAAAAAAAAAAAAACCAAAACCTCAGGCAGGTTTCTCTAATGTAGGAACAGCAGCCAGAAACCAGCATACCACCAAACCATTCCACCACAACAGAGCAAGCTGAAGAGGCTTGGAATGCAAAAAATAGTGAAACAAGCACTCAGATTGAATCCCACAGGAAAAAAAGAGCCAAAGGACTCTGGTCTCTTAACCCCCTCCAATGCAGAGGCTTGTTTTCTTTTTAACTTCAGCTTGGATTAATTAAAATTTACAGTTTCTTGCTGGAAACAAAAGTCATTAAATATGGTGCTTAAAGCTGGTTCAAGATGTTAAAACAAGTCATTGCCACAGTAAGAAATCCAAGAGGCCAAAACAGCCACTGTCAAATATCCAAGCCAAACTGCAGAATTAAATCACCACTTCATGTGGCATTTCCTCCAGCCCTCTGCAAAGGCCATTACTCACCCCAGCCTGGTACACCCCACCCCGAAACAACAAAACTGATAGGGCAGCAAGGTGTCTGGGGACACCAATGTCATTTAGGAGTTACTGCACCACAGAGGCAATTCCCAGCTTTTCCATTCCTCACTCCAGTGTGTTGGCATTGTATCGCCCCCTGCAACAGCACTAGGTGACACAGAGCAGCAGTAGCACTGGCTAAGCACAAATCCCTTTCCTTAGCATATACTGGTGTCACCAGCAGTGCTTTCAAATTAGGTTCTCCCCTAAAACCATCTTTAAGATTAATTAACTGCATTTAAAGCAATGAGGCAAGGGGAGAGGATTGGTGCTTTCTCCTTTACTCTCTTCAGGAGAGCCCTATAAACTTAGAAGCTGAATGGTGAGAAGTTTGTTACTGCAGGATACAGTTATTGCCAAGTATAACAATTTGAAGGCACTTCCTATTAATGTGGTAACGACCATATCCTGGGCTGATACTCCAGGGATAAATGGTGTGCCTCTGGCACAATTACTATACTGGAAACAGGAAGCAGATTTAGGCTTTAGCACAAACAGTAATTATATCACATTTTAAATGAAGCTACAGAAAGTTGAAGCAAACTTATATTGTCAGTAGCTT